CAAATTAGTTTTGGCGTTTCAAAATACGCTCGGAGGATATTTGCCGATATTACATTTGCAACATCAAAAATCTTTGAAAAATTGGCTCCATGCGCTGAAATTTATGGCGACCGTGCGCCGAACTCTGAGGGCTCGGATTTACGTCTCATATGCGCTGAAATTGTTGCCACGATGTCGCTGCTACGTCGGGCATGCTCAGCGTAATGCTCATGTTGCAGTCTGATTGCCTACTAATTTCATGCGTAATGAAAGTTTTAGCATTTATACTTTTAAAACAGAAACGGGTTTGCACGAATTCGTCTTGTAACGTTGACCTTGGAAAGCTGCGGCTTATAGGATACATACACCACGACAGCGTCATGTGTGAGTTGTAAAACGACGAGCATCATCACCTCTAGTTGTTTTAAATAGCCAGCCCTACATGCTCTCAACCTGGAATGACAATCATATAAAACACAGCGTGTAGTAATGCCATATGAGTGCATAACATACATACATACATACATATACATACGTGTCCCTTGAGCCGAGTTTAACGCCGATTTCAATATTTTAACTAATTCGGCCTAGTCCTCGAATGCCCTCTAGATTGACAGGTGCAATAGTCGCCATAATTACACCACCACTGGTGGCGCTTTGTAAATCACGGATCACTTTAATATCCCGAGTCAGAGAAGAAGAAAAAATGCATCGCACCAGGACGGCGCAGGGTGGCATTTTCCCATGCGGTTTTCATGTGGGCAGGCACCTCATGGTAACCGCCATTTTCAGGTGCCCGTCTGGGCTTCGTCGTGGAGGACTTCATCACCAGCCAGCCTTGACTTCAGCATTCATCTCAGCCGCCCATCTGGCACCAGTGTGATGTCGACAGTGCCGCAAAGTCCCGTGCAATCCCTTCCGTCCGTTACCATTGCTTTAAGCATCATGCGTATTAGACGAGATTCGTCCGCTCTCCGGGAAACGCTGGTGGACTGTGCGCTCGGCTCGGCGCCGTTGCGCCACTCGCTTCTGCCGCGTCACACGTGAACCCTCTACTCAGTGGTGGTGCACGTGACCCTCTGAGTCGACCCAGGTCACGGCGGCTCCGACGGGGCAGCTGAGGCCGAAGGCGCCGCGCCGTCCAGAGCCCAGAGCACCGCCGCTGGGGCACCGAGGCGTCTCACGGGGCGCCGCCGCTGGGCCGCTGAGGCGTCACACAGGGCGCCGAGGCGTCACACGTGGCGCCGCCGCTGGGGCGCTGAGGCGTCACACAGGGCGCCGAGGCGTCACACGTGGCGCCGCCGCTGGGGCGCTGAGGCGTCACACAGGGCGCCGAGGCGTCACACGGGGCGCCGCCGCTGGGGCTTCGCTCGAGGCGTCACCACAGTGGCGCCGAGGCGTCTCACGGGGCGCCGCCGCTGGGCCGCTGATGACGTCACACAGGAGCACCGAGGGCGTCACACGGGGCGCCGCCGCTGGGGCTTCGAGGCGTCACAAAGGGCGCCGGAAGCGTTCACAAGGGCGGCCGCCGCTGGGGCTTCGAAGGCATACACTCCCCACAGGCCCGCCGCCCGCTGGGCGCCGAGAACGTCACACAGGCGACGCCGCTGGGGCGCCGAGGTGTCACACAGGGCAGATTGTCAGCGTGGCGGCGTTCCGACCCACCGCACGGCGCCGTAGCTCTCTGAAGATAGAAGCGGGGTGCGCGCGTCTGGGCATCGCCATGGAATTTTGAATGTAGTGTGTCGTGGTATTTATAAAAGCGGTCCTGACGGCGTCATGTTTAGTGGGTGCAGAAACCTTCGTTAATAGGACTTAATCATGGTCGACTTACCTTGGACTCTAGTGTAATTTATTAAAGGGAAATACAGTGGCCGAATGGTCTGCACGGAGGTACAAAGCCAAAATCTTGTCTGCTGTATTTGTTTTATTGTCTCAGTACACTTGACAAATCGTCGGCACCTACGGTGGTACTGAGCATCGGAGCCCACATTTCTGAGGTGTCACTTGTCGGGCCGCAAAATTATCCCTTGCGAACGACGTCTATGCCGCAACGGTGAGAGTGATCGATGCTCGAACATCAGCACTTAATGTAACCGTGAGTGGAAGGCTTGTGAATAATTAATTGGCGTCTCTACTCATTGCATGGCAAAGGAAACCATTCGGATAAACAACGTAAGACACATGTACTAAACAGAATAAGGGCTGATGCCCACACCCCATTATGCTCCATTTTCTCGAAAGACTCGATACAGTGGCATGATACATCCCACATATGCTCAACAAAATCATCGAGCTTGTTGCAGGCAAGCTTGACCCTACGCACTGACTAAATGCCCAACACAGCGTTCCTGGACACTGCCCTCGGGCGGGGCGTCAGACGTCGGCCCACTGGCTTGTCTTCCTACACTGAGAGTGCCGACCGCCTGGCCTGCACCAGCGTTTTGGATGGTGGCCGGGCGGGTAACGCGTTCCATCCCTTCTTGCCAGCGTGCAGCAGCGCCCCAGCAGCTTTAAACGGCCCCGTCAGCTGGCTGGCCGGCACGACTCACTGCTCGCCGTGGTTCCTGCCTGCCGACGGTGAGTTGAACTCGGAGTTGTAGCTTCGACCGGGAGAGGGTGCCACCAGGGAGTATTCTGATGCCTCTGAACCGCGCCTTGAGCCTGACGCACGGCGCGGCCTCAGCAGGTTCGCAGCGCTGTCGACAGGTTGGTGCCCAGTGAACAACACTGGCGCCGCGCAGCGACCAGATCGCACAAGCACGGCCGGCCTCGGGGTATCGCCATCATTTTTGGTAATCCCTTCTTCCACTTCCGACACCGAAATGTCGGTTGTCTAAACACTGCCCCGCGGCGCTCCACTGCTGGTAAGGGGACATATTTTTTCGGACCTTGGACGCGCTGTCCCAGCCTACAGTGTCATCGAAAGTGGTATGGAAAGACCTGTGCGCTATCCAGCTACAATATTTGTGACTCACGCTGGACGCACGACCACAGGGGTTTAATGCTCACATCGAATACGTTCCACGCGAGTTTCATGCGGCGTGGATCATGCACGCTTTCCACAACGGTCGTCGGTTGGCCGCGGCATGATGCACATAACCGCACACTCGATGCCATATTTCGAGCAAATTTCCGTAAACTTTTGGTTGCTGCCCCATCATTGAGCTGGGGTATGCGCGTGCAGTTCTGCGTTCCACCATCCAAATCAAACATCAAGGGCACGCCATGCATGCAATTTTAATGCACACTGACATGGAAGATCGCTCAGGTGGCTGATAACACCGTCCTTAAAAGCTGCCCAACTCACTAACTGCAGCGTCTATGACTGTCCTCTAGTGCGCATGTTAGTATCACCGTCATGATTTACAGGGGCTTAAAACAACACGTACCCGTCCACGTCGCTGTGCGCCCACTCCGGCTCTCCTGAGCTCAGTACACTGCGTTCTAAGCTTGTTAGACGCTGTTTCATTCTCTGCTCTGAGGACACATATTCCCCCAGCAACCTTGCAAACCTTGTCTGAAGCTTTTCCAGTGCGTGTTCTGTAATTCATGAAAACCAAGGCAATCAGAACACTCAATGCAAAGTGTGTTGTTGGCTTGACATCACAAACAGCCCAGAGTTTATCGATTTTTCTGCGCAAACGCACCGGCTCAGAAGAGCACACGTTACAGAAACTACCAGGGGCGTGATTTCGCAAAATAAGTCAGGGAAAGGGGCTGGAGACCCCTCCCAACTTAACAGGAAACTGCACATCTGGGAATTACGAAGAACCGTAGCTGGTTACTTTATTTTGATCGCCCACGTCATTACTATGGCGTATCGCTGAAAGCGTGGGTCTGCGATGATGCCAAGTAAGCAACAGCACAGGGTCAGCACAGCGACGTCGTTGAAAAACCGGCGCCAGTGCAGAGAGGCAGCCCGACCCTTACCAAGCTGGCGGACCTGGGCGCCGAGGTCACTGGCCTGCCCTTGGGTGGCGCTCGCCGGCCTTTCCTCCTCCAGCAGGCCGTCCTTCATCAGCAGCTGGCGGCCGCGCTCAAGCAGGCTGCGGCAGGCCTCCGGGTAGTCAGTGAGCGTGCTCCAGAGGTCATCCTTGGAGAGGCAGAACAGGTCCGAGTAGCCGACGCTGCGCACGTTGGCTGTGCGCCTGTTACCGGTCTTGTTGCCGGGAATGTTCATGATGCTGACCTCACCGAACACGCTGCCGGCGTGCAGGGTGGCGAACACGGTGGCGCCGTCGTCAGACACGACCACCACCCGGCCGCGCTTATGATGTACATCTCCTTGCCGACGTCGCCTTTGCGGCAGATGTAGTCACCGGGGCTGAAGACCTGCAGCTTCAGCTTGAGCACCAGTTCGACCAGCAGGCCGGGCTCGCAGTCCTGGAACAGGCGCACTTGCTTCAGTGCTTCCAGATGCACGTGGATAGCGATTTCGGCCTTCAGCTTGTCCGGCAGCGTCGACAGGATCCCCTCTTCGTTCAGCGACTGCTTGTTGGACCACAGATAGTCGAACCACTCGATCACGCGTCTCTCCAGATCCTTGCTGACCTTGCGAAACTCCATGTACTGCTTGATGCTATCCATGCGCTTCTGGAACTCTGTGCGCGACAGATTCATGTTGGTGATCATGGAGCCGACGTTGCCGACCACGGTGGCGAAGATAAGTACACCGGCTAGGAAGTCGAGCGTCACGAATATGTACTCCGTGTCCTCCACCGGCTGCGGCGTTTCGCCGATGGTGGTCAGCGTCAGCGTGGACCAGTAGAAACTGTAGATGTACTGGTGCGACAGGGTGCCGTTCATGTTCGGTGTCTTGTTGCGGTACACCCACTGGTCCGTGCCGAAGCCGATGGCGAAGCTCAGCGCGAAGTACAGGCAAGCGTTCCAGTGAATCAAGATCAGGATGTACAGCACCACCTTGCTGATGCGGAAGGCGTTGGGGAAATTGGTCCGGGTCTCGGTGCGTTCGAAGAATTCGGTCATGCGGGGATAGCGTAGGATGCGGTTGATTCGGACTAAAAACGGGCATGGCATGTGGTAGTAGCATTCGGTGCCCAAGTAGAGGTACAAGAAGTCCGTTGGTAGAATTGACAGCACATCCAGCACGAAGACGGCGGACTTCATGTAATGAATGCGCAGCTTCTCCGGGTCACGTACCATAAGTCCCTGTTCCAAATAACCTGCAATCAGATGCATCAACCTCATACAGCGCAACGGCATTCTCAAATCAGTATGGAGGCAAGACATCCACCAACACTGCTGAGCCGCTAAAATTACGGCAACTGAACAAAAATTCGAAAGCCGAAAAGTGAAAGGACAAAAGGGCAAATGTCAGAAATTTAAATGTCAAGAAGTCAAGGTGAATAAGTCAAGTGACGATTTTTCGCACCAAAAAAATTATTGTCAAGTCAGGATAGAAAGATTACGCAATAGGTCCAGTGAACAAACAGTCAAAAGGGATAAAGGTCAGAGAAATTAAGGCAAAAGGCAAAAGGCAAAAGGAAAAAAGAGGTCAAAAGAATACGAGTCCATATGATGTAAAGATACAGAGGAGCAAAAGGTTGGATCAACAAAACATCAAGATGATTTACAATGAAGCACGCTCCGGGGTGGTGATTTACGAGCCCGCGCGGGACACCCTCCGGACCAAATGCGCGACACTCGGCGTTCACCGTTCGGCCACGAGGCCTGTTTGCCCCAAAAAGGCGTATTTGCCGCCCACATTTTGGAAGGCCCCTTTTACGCCATGAAAATCGGATCGAGGAGGC